AAACTATATCTTATAGAATTATCTTAACATAAACTAGTATATCTAAACTATATCTTATAGAATTATCTTAACACTCCCCCTCAAGCTGGAGCATATATATCATATGCATCTAGCTTGTTACATATATATGTTATCCTAGGACCTCGTAAAGATTTAGTAAAGATATCTGCAAGTTGATCCTTGGACGTCTCTTCTTAGTCATGGCTGCTATGAGGCATTGGCCTTTGTTTCAATTAGACATCAAAAATGTCTTCTTACATGGTGATTTGGAGGAGGAGATTTATATGGAGCAACCTCCTGGGTTTGTTGCTCAAGGGGGGTCTGGTCTTGTGTGTAAATTACAAAAGTCCTTGTATGGCCTCAAACAATCACCTCATGCTTAGTTTAGTCGGTTTAGTAAAGTTATACAGGAATATGGAATGATCCGCTGCCAGGCAGACCACTTTGTCTTCTTTAGATGTTCATCAACACATAAATTTGTCTATCTTGTTGTTTATGTACATGATATTGTGATTACAGGTGATGATCAGGAGGGCATCAAGGCTCTAAAGCAGCACTTATTTAAATACTTTCAAACTAAGGATTTAGGTCCTCTATGTTATTTCCTTGGGATTGAGGTTGCTTAGTCAAAGTCCAATATTGCTATTTCTCAGAGAAAATAAGCCCTTATATTCTAGAGGAGACCGGGCTTACAGATTGTAAGCCAGTTGACACTCCCATGGATCCCAATGTGAAGCTTATGCCTAATCAGGGAGAGCCTTATCCTGACCCAGGGAGATATCGGAGATTAGTGGGAAAATTGAATTATCTCACCATGAAATCTAAAATTTATGGATCTGTCACTGACTATAATCATCGAGTTTGTGTTTGGCATTTTGGAACCAGAACGGCCCGTTCTGGTTGCACTCTTGATGTGTTAATTTTGCATCTGAAACGGTCGTTTCAGGTGCAAAATTAACACATCAAGAGTGCAACTAGAACGGGCCGTTCTGGTTTCAGAATGTGTCGTTCTGGCTCTAGATGCATTAAAAAATTTGGCATCCGCATGGCATCCAAGTGACCAACAGTTAACTCCGTTTAAATAATTTGGACGGAAGTCTGACATTGCAATAATTTAAATTATTAGGGACCAAATTGAAACAAAAAATTAAAGTGGGACTAAACTGAAATAAACAAATATTATAAGGAACTAAATTATGGTTTTAACCTGTATCTTTTAACTATATACCTTACAAAATATTTTTCATTATTATCTTTACAAATATTTTTAAAATTATATAACAAAATAAAAATGATATATTTATGTAAGTAAAATAAAATTGATATTATTAATTGACGAAGTTAATGAAATATTTTTTAACAAATATTTAAACAGAATAATATTTACATTATATAACATTAATTATATGTATTATTTATTATATTTAATTAATTTAATACTAAAATATGTATATTTGTTATTTATATATTAACTAAAATATAATTATTACAAAATTTAATACTTATGTATATATATATATATATATA